GCTGCTCATAATCTTTAAGGAAGAGCCAGAAGTTGTCTTCCTTGTTCTGTCACTGCATCGAGAAACAACTGTAAAATTATTTTGTTTTTCAGCGCCTATGAACATGCAGTCTTAGCTGCTGGGACAGACTTCCGTTCTGACAGACTGTGGGAAATGTATATAAACTGGGAAAATGAACAGGGAAACTTAAGGGAAGTTACATCCATCTATGACCGCATCCTTGGAATTCCAACGCAGCTGTACAGTCATCACTTCCAGAGGTAAAGAGAAAACAAAGATTTAATGCTGTGCATTTCTTGAGTATACACTAATCTACTTCTGTAAGCGTGGAAATGCTCGCTCGGAACAGGAACTTGAAATAGTTACTTAAGTTCATGTACTTATTTAAGTGCTTCAAAGTACTCATCCACATTGTAGGAATTAGGTTTTAGATAAATTCACAAATGCTGCTGAGGAAGAGCAGAGGATGTGATTGAAAAATCAGAATGAGCACTTTTGAACTTCAATTCCTTATGCAGTGCTCTCCTGAAACTAACTGACAAGAGAGAAATACTTGGTTAACTTTTAGACGGGAATTCTGGAATTAATGGACTGGTTAAGAGGAAACGGGAAACCTTAGTTATATTATGCACTAGTCTTTCCCATAGTTGCTACAGATCTTTTGTGTTTGGAAGTAAAGTATCTCTGGATTGTCCTTAGCCATTAATTTTACATGGCAGGTGATTTGTCTTTGTTACTGCAGTTCATCATCCTTCCATTTCTCTTTGAATTTTGAAGTCTGTTAGGTGATAGAAGTTGCATTTTGTGTGTATGTGTTGTGAGAAGTTACATTCTTGGCGTGGCTCTAGACTGATAAAGTAATGCAAAATCCCACTGGGACTTGTTATTGTGCTCTGGTAAAGCAGAATGTTGCAGTATGAAACTTGACTTGTTTCTAACTGTTCTTAGGTTTAAAGAACACATACAGAACAACTTGCCTCGAGACTTTCTGACTACTGAGCAGTTTGTTCAGCTGCGTAGAGAATTAGCGTCTGTGAATGGCCACAGCGGGGAGGACGCGCAGCCTGGTGATGACCTGCCCTCTGGTGCTGAAGACATAACTGACCCTGCCAAGGTACAGGTGCAGGGGGTGTTCATTGGTGTTCTGTTCCTTACTGTGTGCCTGAAAGACAAGTTTGTTTGCAGAGAATTTAGCATATCTGTAGCTGAGGTGTTTCCATAGTTCTGCTTATCACTGCTCTTTGGCTTGTGTGATAAGTACTTTCTTACAGGATGCACCTTTCCAGTGTTTTCATAGGCATTAAAGAAATGGAATTTAGAAGTGAAATAAGTAACGTGCAAAACTTTAGGAATTAATTAATTCTTCCAGATTAAGAGATTAGAAACTGTGGTCTAAGAAAGCTCCTCATCAGCAATGTTCTCTGCAGGTCAGAGCCTTCATGGGCGTATGAAAACTTGACTATCCAAGGGAATTGCTGACTGAAAACAAACACATACTGACACTGAGTTTGACTGGGATCCAAATTAATCTCTGATCTCAATCATCTGTGGCATAGGAGCAAAGCTTCAGATAGAAACCCTGTTCAGCAGGGCTGTGCTGGGGGCAGTGTCCCATCCTGTCTTCAGGGTAGAGTGTAATGCATCTGTGATAGTTTTAATTTCTGCATATTTCTGTCATCATGAAATGCATTTACAGAGGTGATATGGTGTCTACCTGAGTTATCTTTTTAAAAATTATGTTTTAGCTGATCACTGAGATAGAAAACATGAGGCACAGGATCATTGAGATTCATCAAGAAATGTTTAACCACAATGAACATGAAGTCAGTAAGAGGTGGACGTTTGAAGAAGCGGTAAGTTTGTTTTTCCTGTGTAAGGCAGCGTGCACAAGAGCTCTGAACAGAGGCCTGGGAGCTAGGAATTTTGAGTAACAGGTCACACAATCTAAACTCTTGTGGGCTTTGAACAAAGACCAAGTTTCACTTCTCTGCCATTTTTCTTGTGAAAAGGCAACTTGTGAGGTCAACTCTGTCATGTGACGGCTTAAAAATCTTTAAGTGGTATTTGGAGAGAGACAGGATGGTGTGGTGATTAGTAAGTGGCCTGTATACATGCATGAAAGACTGTGTTGATTGAGTGCTGCCTTATGCATCTGGGGTGATGCAGATTAAGGTCAAGAAGATGATTCTCATTGAAAAGGTAAGCCTGTCCTAAAAGGAGAACAAAGTTTGTGTGGTTTTCTATTTTAACATTGCAGTCTTAAACCTGAAATCAGTTAGGTTTTCCAAAATCAGCAATCATAATGTGCAGCTCCTGTTTTTAATGTGTTAACAGTAATTAATTGTTTGGTCATTTTACATACAGAATCTTTTCTATGTAGGATGAAGTTTGGTTACTTTTGAAAATCAACCTGAGTTTTTAGTTCTCAGTCTTTTTTTAATTTTTTACTTCCTGGCAAATATCATGTTGCATAACATGGTTCTTGCTTTAAGTTCACTTTTGTTTTAAAGAGTACATTGCACAGATGCCTTGTAAGCCACAGGTGTCATGGAAGGGACGTGGATCATCAGGTCCAGCTTTTCTAGCAAAGCATGACATAGGCTTAAGTGTCTCGCCACTCTGTCCAGCCAGATCTTAACAGTGTTTGATGTAAACTTGAAAGCATGGTACGTGACCAGTAGCAGTACTGTAGCAGAGAACAAGGCATGCCTTGGTGGGGGTAGTGGCAGTTTGCCCTTCCTGTCCACAGCAGCCTGAAGGGCTGTGTCAGAGGGTTGCTGTTGTACGGGTACCTGTCTCGGGAGGTGTGTCCCTAGAGTATGCAAGGCTCAGGTATGCAGATGTGTGGAAAATGGTTACGTGAGTAAGGTCTTCTTGACTAAGAGAAACCGTAGCTACAGATGATTGGCATATGGAAGAACGATGAAACTGTGGACGTGTTGCAGAAAATATGCCAGAAAGAGGGTGTCCTCTCCTCTGCTGACTAGGATCAATGCTTTCTCTATCAAGAGAGTATATCTGCTCTTCAGATCGAGGAGGAGTTTGAAATATAAAGAAGTCTTTGTAATGGATAGAAATGAGGTTATTAAGCAACAGGATATTGCATAAATGATGGAGGCCGCTTAGACCAGTTTTACTGTTATTTTAGCAGGAACAATGTGCCTGTGAATCTGCCAAAGTGGAAAAAGAGTATTGGGCTCTCTTACAGAGCTCAGTGAGGGGTATGGTGGGGGTGATTGGCTTTAAATTTCAGTTGGCCTTGAAGAATTGAATGTTACTCCTTGATTACCTTAAGTTCTTTATCCATTCTCATTTATTTGTATTGGAGATATTGCAGTACAGGAGAGAAATGATCAGGTAAAATTAAAGGTGAAGAAGAGAAAAAGCACAAGATCTCTGGAAGGATGCTTTGCTGTGGTTACTTCAAAGCAGTGTTTTGCTTTGCTATGCTGAACTCTGTCCCACCCAGGTCCTCTTGTGGGCATCAGAAAATGCACAGTCTTGGAATAACCAGTTTCATGTACATAATTAATGTGAAGTTCAGTTCAGTGCTCTTTCTTCTCTTAGTCTCAACCAAATTTTGCATTTAATTTGTAGGCTATGCGCTAGTACAACAGTAAGTACTTCAGTTGTATGTATATGTGTATGTGACCAATAGCAATTGTTGTCACCACAGGTTTGCAAGGACTGAACTGTGGTGAGTTCTTCCTCAGTTCTGTACACACTTGCACTCAAAAATCTTCCTAGAAAAGCCAAGGTACAAGCACAGAGTGTAATTGTTGGCAAAATATCTTGATCAGTACTTGGGTAACCCCAGCAGACTTATGTGAATAGATAATGATGTCCCGTTTATTTAAATGCCATTACTTGAATGGTGTTGTGGCTATTTGTTTTTTTTAACACAACTCGATGGTGTGCTTATTAGTCACAAGTTGCCATGCTGTGACTCTTGCAGATAAAGAGGCCTTACTTTCACGTAAAACCTCTGGAGAAAATTCAGCTGAAAAACTGGAAAGAGTACTTAGAATTTGAGATAGAAAATGGCACTCATGAGAGAGTTGTGGTCCTCTTTGAAAGATGTGTTATTTCATGTGCCCTCTATGAGGACTTCTGGATTAAGGTAAGGGAAGGGGTTTACCACCCATCTCCTGCCGATGGCATACATTGATCTAGTGACTAACCTTTTGTACTCTTGTGGAACGTTGTTCATATATAACTATATCTGTTGCATTAGGAGATGGTCTGCTTGCAACCAGATTTGACTGCTGCATATGCCAACTTCGTTGCCTCTCTACGTCCTTCCTTACAGAAACTAGTCTAGTGGTTCCATAAAGGTGCTGAATGGGTTTAAACAAAAGAATTTTATCGTTCTGTCATGTTTTTAAGACAACTATAAGCTTTAAATTTCCCAATCTCTGCTCTGTTTTCAACTATAGTATGCCAAATACATGGAGAATCATAGTATTGAAGGCGTGAGGCATGTCTACAGCAGGGCTTGCACTATACATCTTCCTAAGAAACCAATGGTTCATATGCTGTGGGCTGCCTTTGAGGAACAGCAAGGTGAGAGCAGCAGTCATTTTTCCTGGGAGGGATTCTGTTTTTAAGAGGCTGTGGATGTCTCATATCTTAAAGCATCTTCACCGGTGTTTTAGGCAACATCGACGAAGCAAGAAGAATCTTGAAAACCTTTGAAGAGTGTATTCTAGGGCTAGCAATGATTCGCTTGCGAAGAGTGAGTTTAGAACGCAGACATGGAAACATGGAAGATGCTGAACACCTGCTTGAAGAAGCTGTTAGAAATGCCAAATCAGTTAGTGAATCGTCATTTTATGCCATCAAATTAGCTCGACACCTCTTCAAAGTACAGAAAAATCTTCCAAAGGCAAGAAAAGTGCTGTCAGAAGCCATAGAAGTGGACAAAGTATGTGTTTCCTCTTTGCTGTCTTAAAAACACCCCAAAAAAATAGATCATGGTATTTTTCTCTCTTTCTGAACCATGGCAACAATGATGACAGGAGTTTGTACCTGGATGTGGTGTTCCCTTACTACATGGAGACAACAGTCCCTCTAACCTGATGTTGCCATACTTGCAGCTTGCAGATCTGGAAGTTTGCATTTTTTTTTTAATCGGAAGCTTTGTGATCAGAATCAGAAGTGCTTTATACTTTCAGTTTTCCTTTCTACAAGCTCAATGTAGGCATGTTCACACCTTAAGGTGAACTGAATGGATCATGTAGGCAGTACTTGCAGACCGTTTTGTGTAACCACAGAAACATTTGGCACTCTGAATACTATTAGCTTACTCTTAGCAAAGTGTGACATCTGTCTTTGTAGTGTCACACTGTGAAACATGTCTTTGAAGTGTCACTTCTGTTTATGACACAAACCAGGTCAAAGATGACCAATGTAAAAAGAAAAACTTGTTGACTATTCTAGCTTAACATTTGTGGTTTAAACATTCTGCTCTTCATCTGGTAGATGTAGATACAGTGTCAAATACCAAATCTGACAGCTCTGCAACTTCTAATGCATTTTTTGCACAGGAAAATACAAAGCTGTACCTCAACTTGCTTGAGATGGAGTACAGCGGTGATCTCAAGCAGAATGAAGAAAACATCTTGAGCTGCTTTGATAAAGCTGTCAATGGCGCCTTGTCTATAAAAATGAGGATTACGTTTTCTCAACGAAAAGTGGAATTCCTTGAAGATTTTGGTTCCGATGTAAAGAAGTAAGATGTGATCTGTGCAACAGCCAAATTAGGGTCACCCAAAGAGCACTTGTGGAAGGGATAGGGAAGGGTTGGATCAGTAGCATCCTTTAGGTGGTTCCTGTGTGCTGTCAGCTCTTTGTTGAGGGATAGCTGCTTTTCAAAACCAAATTCCTTTTTTAATCTGGAATCTCTTTTCAGAAAATTATTCTTTTTTTTTTTTTTCCCTGAGATACTGTAATGCCTGTAACTTCCTACTGTGGTTTTGCTAAGTCTTAGAGGAGGGTGCTCTTCCAAGGGAGCATGTTTTATGACAAGGGTGTGATTTGATGTTCTACACCCTGTGAGCTGCTGCTTGAGGTTTCCAAAACCACATTGATGTGATTGTTCTGTGTTCAGAAGGATTAACAATGCTATGTGCTTATGTGGGGGATCAAGTACTAGAACTGCAACTTTTGAATTAAATACTAGATACACTTTTTTCCTCTTAATTCTCTATTGCAAAACAAGCTCTTGTTTTTATTTACACGCTGCTGAATAATTTGGAAGAGCTAACCACAAGTTAGTTTTTCTGCTTTGTGTGCTTTTAACAATAGCTATCCTTAGTTCCTGCTGACTCTGACCATTCTAACTGGCATGGCAGCCAAGCGCTGCCAGCCTGGGATCCTGGATAGACAAAACAAAACAAAGTTTTCAGTTCCCAAATAATAGGAGAGCACAGAATAAACACAAAAAACTGTTTCCACCAAGAGCAATATGAACAGAAGCAGCAGTTTTCCTAAACTGGTCTGCAGCAGATGGAATTGTATTTCCTATTTTGGGAAATGATACTTTGCTATTAGCGGGGATTTTAGCTAGCACTCTTTTGTGCTGCACAGAATATACATTCTTCCCATGTTGTTTGGCAAAAGGCTACAGGTGCTGCTTTGGAATTGTAATAATTCTGTGTAATACTAATTTCCAGTACTTAAAGAAATGTTGATTGCCATCCACAGCAGCACCAAGATTTAGCATCAACATGCACCTGAGGGAATGCAGGTGCTGGAAGGAGCAGCCATATCACAAATAAGTTTAAGAAAACTTCATTATAAAGGGGAACTTTATAAAAACCACATGGAGTGTGATAAAAGCTAAGGAAGTTGGGGATTCCTGAGCTAACAGAAAACACTGTGCACTGGGGAGTCAAATAAAGGTTTTTGGCTTTCCCATCTCTGTGGGGGATCACTGATAAAGAATTGATTATGATTCAGTTTGATTTAGAATTGTTTTGCATTTTTACAGCTTCAAGTAGATGTTTTAAAATGGTTTAAATATTTGCATGAAAATGGTGAGCAAAGCTCTGTTCCTTTTTGCCTCATCAGGCTTCTGGATGCTTATGATGAACATCAGGCCCTTCTCAAGGAGCAGGATTCTTTGAAAAGGAGAGCGGAGAACGGGTAGGCAGTCTGCTCACCTGCGGTGTAAGCTGGATCAATAGCTGATGCAGTCCAGGGTAGCTGGGACATAGACTACACTGAGCTGTAGCTGGTACAAAGCACTTTGGAGATGATTGAAAAATAGTTCAGAGAACAGTCTTGGAAATTATATTTTTCTTTAGTCTATGATATATATACACACTTTTTTTTTTAGCTTTAAAGCTACTGCTTGCTAGAGCAAAACCACTATATTTTTTTAATCACTTAAGATACACTAAATAGGGCTGTACTGTTGGCTTCAATATTTGGAAATGGATTTATTGGAAAGTAACTTCTGAATTGTTTCTCAGGAAAGCTAAACAATACTGGGAAAAATAACTCAGTCTTTAAGCAGAAACATGCTTCTGCTGTCCCATTGGATTCACCAGAACAGTTAAAAACCAAAACTATTGTTCTGAAGCACAATATACTACTGTCTTTCTCTAAATCAAATTCTGCTTCCCTGTTTAGACAGGGCACCACATCTGAAAATATTGCTTAACTTCATCCATTACAACATTTCTCACCCAGAAGCTCAGCATTTAATCTAAGGTGCCATTTACAAGTGTGTATTAACTTCACAGGTCAGAGGAGCCAGATGAAAAGAAAATGCTAACAGATGATCCAACACTTTCATCGGCACAGATGATGGATGGAGACATGCAAGTCAATCAGGCAGCATACAACTACAATGCCTGGTACCAGGTGGGTGCGCACTTTTGGTGCTGTGCTCAGCGTGCATGTTCTGTATGCACATGTTGTGCTTTTCCATGTGACTCTGTGGCCCAGTGTCAGAAGCTTGGAGTAGAAATTTAGCTTCTGTTTTTGTTGATTCCCCTGTAGCCTGTTACACAACTGTAAGGTATTTCTCCTTGTGCAGCAGGAGGAGCAGCTTGGTGCCAGCTCTTCACGTGAAGGGATGTATTAGAGCTGTTAGGGATGTTGCTGGCTGAGGGCAAAACGCTTTGCCCAGGAAACTCACTTTGGGATTCTAGTTAACTGTGTGTTTTGGTAGTTAACTTCTCTAACTAGTAGTTCCCATAATGTCTTGGTATGGGTTCCATTGCACTGCTATGGTGTCCATACAGAATCAGTCCATTCAACAGCTTGGCCCGTGGGTCTGCTATTGCATGATGTTGTTTTGTCCCCTTGAGGGGCTTAAAGAGGGAATTGGTAGTACCACACCTTGATTTCCTCCTTTTGCGGGAGCAGCAGCCTCCAGCATGTGTCCTGCTTCCTTCTAGACTGATGGTGTGGTTCTGTCCAAGGGGCAGGCTGTAGAGCCTTGTCTTTCTGTGCAACGTGAAGGTGGGTGCTGCTGGTGCCCTCTCAGCTGGGATGAGAGCAATGCAGGCTTATAATGTTAATTCTTTTGAGTTGTGAGTAACTGAGAGTCTGGCTGAAGCTTTTCCTCAAGCATTTTAATGAAAACTGTTGTTCCGGCTGTAAGGAGCCTGCCAAGCCAGTGAGAACAGCATTTGCAGGTGGGACGTGACCCAGCCATTGTGTAACTGTGATTTAAAATTGCCTGTGTCAAGGTTAAGTGTTCTTTCCAATTCAGGCAGTGAAAGGTGCCTCACCCCCTCAGCATGGGAAGACTGCCCAGCACTGGGCCTGGAGAAATGTTGCAAGTTTCCAAACTCAGAATGGTAGGAGCGGCAGGCTGATAGTGCTGGTGGTCTGCGTCCTGTGGTTGAGACAGTAACTTCATCACTGTCTGCCTGCTGTGCATTTTACAGTCTGCTTGAGAATAGCAGAGGCATGTGTTCTTGCTGTCCCCAGAAGGCTGCGCTGCCTGGGCACAGTTCATGGCAGTGTAGCCATGGGAACCATCTTGGTGACAGTCTCTGATGGCTGCAGATGGCTGGGTTCAGTGTGAGGGAGTGGTGCTGGGGCACTTCAGCCACTCCCACTCTGCAGGACATGCTGTGATGGGGGATGTGGAGCTAGAACACAGGCTGTTCCTGCATCCCTTGCCACCTGCTCCCTCTTTTTTCCCTGCCTTTTATGAAGTCTTGTTGACAGGGAAGTGACAGGGAGCTGCAGAGCAGGTACCAAGGGATATATCTGAGGAACAAGAGGGAGCCCCTGACTTCTCCTGTACTGGAAGACTCATCATTTGAGTCTTTATTAAGTGACTGAAACCATGAGGGACAGCAGTACTCCCTCCTTGCTGGCCCTTGGTACAAGTCTGGCCCTGGCCTTGTGACTGCAACCACTTGTTTCACAAAGATGCCTTGCAGCAGGGGGTCAGGGTGGTTGGGAGTTGATGGGCCTTGTGCTGCAGGGGAGCACCCCTTGGTGTTCTTCTGCCTTCCAAGCCAGCCTGAGGCACCAGCTGTGTGCAGGACCTCTCTGTGCAGAGACCTCACTATGGTGGCTGTGACATGGTGACCATGCTGGCCACTGCAATATAACATTCCTTTCTGGAATGGCAGCCAGCTGCTCACTGGGGATTCTGTGTGGAGCATAGGCAATCTGACTTACACTATCCTGTTCTTGGGTTTTTTTCCCAGTACAATTACCAGAACGCGTGGAATTACGGACAGTACTATCATGCGACTTGATCCGAAGAGTGAGTGCTGCAGTTTCAACAAAGATGGAATACAAAGAAGTTATATTTTTCTAAATTAGGGATGTGAAAGAACTGTTGTAATACCTGCTTTTTGGTCTTCTGCATGTGAAGTGAGCTGGTGTTCCCAGGGTATGTGTGAAGCAAGATCTGTGTGCTGGTAACTGATAAATGGTATCTCTGTACAACTGTAGTTTACCATAAATGCATTTGTTTTGTTTTTTTAATTCCCTGCACTAATTTATGGAGGTATCTGAAGAATTTTTTTGGTCTCAGGACGATGCTGTGGATTTAACCAGTAAAGCTATAGGGGTTTTGCTTTGGTTGGGTTTCCCCTAAGGCTATCGTGCC